CAATGAGCATACCCAGTGAGGCTACTACTTTGGCCGCCTTGTCAGCTGCCCTGATAATATGCTCACCATAGTTAAGCTTGTTGTAAAGTATAACCCCGAGATATTTGACAACTGACTTAGTCTGGACCGCCGCATATCCTACAATGAAGCTGCGCAGGGTGTTGATGCGCTTCATCGTAATTAGCACGATCTCTGTCTTCTGGGCTGCTAGAGATAGCCCGTGGCCTTCCATCCAGGAGGTAGCTCTCCGCATGACTTGGTTGGGCAGCAACTGTACCCCCTCCGTGTCTCTTGTGTTTATGACCACTGTAATGTCATCTGCATATCCAACCAAGGAAGTACCTTCTGGGACTGCCATACGAAAGATACCGTCGTAGAACATATTCCATATATCCGGTCCCAGTATGGAGCCCTGGGCTGTCCCCGATGTCAATTCCAAGCTTCTTGGACCATCACTCGTGTCGTATACTAGAAAGCGCTCATTTAGATAATCGTCATTTATTCGGAGTTGGTACTTCGGAACGTCGAAATTACGTTCGAGCGCTTCCCTTGCCAGGTCCCACCTGACGGAGTGGAAGGCATTTCTCACGTCTAAGGTGGCCAGCAGGCACAGAGGTCGAGTTCGATGATTGCCTCACTCCATCATTTTAACGGCCGTGACCACCTCTAGGACTGCGTGGGTGGTGGAGAGGCCGAATCGGAATTCATACTGGCGGCCGGCAAGATCCCCCGTTGCCTTCATGGCTGCCCGCAGCCTTGGCCTTATCAGCTTCTCCAGGAGTTTTCCAGCCGTATCGAGCATACAAATAGGCCTGTATGATGAAGCTGCCCATCCTGGTCCCTTGCCCTTGCTAATGAGCACAAGCCTCGCTTTCTTCCATGGAGCGCGGAAGATGCCCCCTCAGAGGCACGTGTTATACATGTTCAGCAATAGCATAGGGTGACTTTGCGCGATGACTGTAATTATTTCTGCTGGATGTCCTTCTGGACCCGGAGCTTTCTTATTCCGCATAGATGATGCGGCCCTGAGTAGCTCTTCTTCCGTGAATTGCGGTACCTCGCTTATTCCGGGCGCATCCAAGCTGATCTCTCTCTTCGGCTGTGGGTGGAATAGAGTATGCACGATGTGATCCAACGTCCTCGCGTCCTGAGGGGTCCCTTGCGTGTTAGTCCCCAGCTTGCGAGTGACGATGGCATACCCTAATCCCCCAGGATTCTGGTCGACATCCAGGCACAGCTCCTTCCAGCACCGTCGTTGACTGGCCTTAATGGTCCTCTTCAGGGCTTTTTAGTCCGCTTGATAGTCTGCGGGCAAAGGAGTAGCGTCGTGGTCGCGTCTCTTCGCTCGTTGTGCTAAACGGCGTAGCTTTAAGCACTTCTTACGAAGATCTGCGATCTCGTTCGTCCACCAATATACAGGGCGTCTCTGCCGTTTCGTGCCATTCTTTGGCACCGCTATCGCACAAGCCATTTGGATGAGCTGCATGGTTGCTGCGCTAATCAACCTGGTTTGTGCTGGTGGCGATAGACTCGCTGAAGTACTTTGTTGGGATCTCAATCCTTCCTCTATGACCGAAGACAGCATCTCTCGTTCCATTCTTGCAATGTTCCACCGGGGGGGGTCACACTTTACACATGTCACGGCTGGCCTCCTATCATGTACATCGAATAGGATGTACTGGTAATCGCTCCCGGTATAATCCTCGATCACCTGCCAGTCTGCGACTCTTGCCATAAGATGTTCGTTGACTAGAGAGACATCCGGGATCGTCTCTCTGTAGCCAGGCCAGCGGAAGGTTGACGTCGAAGCTGTGTTGAATACTGATAGATCCAGTCTCGACGCCACCTCCATGATACGTCTTCCTCTGGAGTCCGGCCTGGCCTCCCCCCATTCGAGAGCTTTGGCATTGAGGTCTCCAGCCACAATGAGATCCCCTTGGATTTCCTGCAGCGCGTCTTCCAGATCGTCCAGTTTGATTTGGAAGTCGTCTATCCGGTCGTTCGGAGTGAAATATACACTGACATACGTCGTCGAGTTATGTCTCACCCAAACATCACCGCGTCCGGATCCTTGGTCCGACACATGTATTAGTCGGGGATGTGGGATCCAGATGGCCGCGGTGCCCAATTCGTCTGCGAACCATCCTACTCCTGCTCTGTCCTGGTACTGTTCGCTGATTAGCACAATATCAGCTTTTTTCTCAAAGCAAAGCTGGGCTAGAAGGTGATGCTCCGTCCTGCTCCTATTCAGGTTACCCTGAAGTACTCTCATCCGTTTTTTTTCTTTTTTTCTACTTCTTTGCTGTTGCAAGGGCCTCCTGGAAAGCTTTGCAGGCCTTTGATCCCGCCAGGTGCTTCCTAGTTTCAACACAACTCTTTGAGGACAAAAAGCAAGTAGGTTCGCTGACCTTGCACTCTTTGATCTTGTGCCCCGTGCTGCCACAATAGTAGCAAACATTACTGCGGTCAGGTCCCTTGCACGAGGCACTATATTGACCAT